TGTATGTACGTATGTATGTATGTATGTATGTATGTATGTATGTATGTATGTATGTATGCATGCATGCATGCATGTATCTATGTATGTATGTATGTATGGCTGCCGCTTACGTACCTTTCTAGCTACAGATGGCGATAGGTGTCCTTTTCAAGAATCGAAATTCGTATGGCAATGGAATGCAAATTGTGTTGAGCGCTTCGTACCAGCTTTGGATAAAGGATAACACTGAACTAAAGAAAGAGCAATAACGGCGAAGATTCAGCGGCAGATTAAAATCTTTAAATGCACAAGCCTTATGGAAATTTGAAGCGCAAAGGATATTCAGTGAGGAGGTCTTGGTGAGGGTACATCCGGCAGTAGGATTGGAACAACTGGTTATGATAATTCGCAATATAGCCTTTTTCCTGAACAGAATAACGGCTGAATTTCACGTGTCAGCAGAGGCAGCATAAATGAAGCAAAATTACATTTGAGTTGGACGTGTTGTTGCTTACTGTGTAATCACTTTAAGCTGTTTGCATCTGAAGATCGTCAGTGGTATGTGATGCGTGATATCCGCTGCCTCCTCAGCATTTCCATGGTTTTTCTATGAGGTACTGTTTATTGCCTCGGAAAAGAAACGATTCCTCTTCGAAAGCAGACATGTCTTTACACAGTTCATCTATGTTGCCTGTTGACCTCCTGTTGGACTTCTTAGTGTCTCGGTTCTCATAGGAGAACCTCGCGGACTGGAGTAAATGATTGAGGTTTATGCAACTTTTCTAGTAGGCTCACTCAGCATCCTAGTCAGCATCTTCACGTACATTGAGAAGAGTTGCAACCTCAGAGATAAATCGTCACGTTCAACTGATCATGCTACCGATTTCATAATGAAACAGGCCAAAATATTCCGTCTACTTCTTTGCCGTTCCATATTATTGGGACGTGACAACGTAAATCCTGACCCGCGTGTGTGGGTAGCTTCAAAATACCGATAAAGCTGTCACAATGACAATCAATTCTACCGATAATGCGCAATAAATTATTAACGAAGTTGCCGCTATGAAAAGAATTACAAAAAGCCGACCGAATGAGTGCGAATTTACCCTCACTCTGGACCAATGAGATGAAGAGGACTGTCAGCCAATTTATGAACATAAGTATAACTTTGGGTGTACGTTTGAGGGCGGTTGTTAGTGAAGAGAAGGGTGTCGTATCGTGCCGCCCGGGTTCATCAGTTGCCTTCTACATATTTATTATTTATTAATAGTCGTTATCTCCGTGATCAGTTGCAGTAACATCAAGGTGGTCGTGCTAGTGAATTTTCATGTTGAGGCATCTGACTGATCTACTGATTTAAACGTTCGACCCCAAATTATTCCAGCTTCACTTGCACCCAATTTGCATCGTAGGCATCATGTATCACTGGCGATACGACGAAACTTTACGCGACACTCTCATATTCTGGTCAACTATATTATCCGCTCTTACGTATATCATTTAAAAGCGATGCCGATGTCAACAAGAACACCAGTAGCAGAAGTAGGTAAATTTTGAAGTGGCTTGAGACCAGGATCATATCTAATTCTATGGCAATATTTACTTGCTTATTAAAGCTATTAGTAAATGTATAAGTTTGGGAGGAAACTGAAACTGAGACCAATGCCTGGCAGGATAACGACAAATGTCACGATTTGTTCAAAGGAGTTACGTCGTGAAGGACAGAGCAGTACAATGTTTCTACTGTGGATTTCAATTGTTTTGGTCATCTGTATAGCTGGTGCATGTGGCTTTGTGGCTTTCTCTTCATTTCTAGATACAATTTATTATGTGTCATCCAGATCTTTATTTACTGTTGCCTAGAATCCATGTTGGAAGTGGTCGTCTCTGGCTTGAGGGACTGGTAACATGGTGAAAAGATTTTGACATGTTTACTTTAGGGATTAGTACAAACGATGATTTTAAAATTCTTTGATGGATCAGTTTGCTTGACGCCGCGAACGTGTGACAAAATATCGCTATATATCGCTGTTTAGGATTTTCAATCGAGGGACCGTCAAAGACAGATCTTAGCTGTCATGACAACGAAGATGGCACAGCAGACGTTACGTACATTCCAAAGGGTCCTGGCGAGTATGCAGTGCATATCCTTTACAAGGACGAGGATATCTTGGACAGTCCTTTCATGGTTAACATCGCGCCTTGCCCTTACGGCGTTGATGCCAGTCAGGTGAGCAGCGAAAGCTGAATTAGAAGAATGCATCGGCTCCTTTCGTTTAACGCCATGACATGTTTAGGTGCGGTGCTATGGTACGGGGTTGTCAAAAAACGAGGTATCGAGGGGTCAACGATGTGAATTTGCCGTCGACACCAGTCTGGCTGGCAAAGAGGAAGTTAACGTGTGGGCGGTAGACTCGAACCTGAACGTCATCGACATTAAGGTAAGGCTGTCCCCAGACTTCTCGGCTGAACGCCGTGGTCAAGCTTGTGACCGATAACGTTTCAGAGAGAGGGTCGATCAGCCACGCTGCACACATTTTCGTACCTGCCACTGAAAGCCACTAGGCACACTGTGTTCGTCACTTACGGAGGAGCGTCGGTACCGGACTCGCCATTCAAGGTAGGGTGTCTTTAAGACGTGGAAGAGGTTATAAAGGTGATCAGAGCCAGCCACCGCATTTAGTTTCTTAATATATTCAGTATAATTTTATGTCTTTCCTACGGTACTGCTCCGCATAATGATTTGATTATGGAAATTGCCCATACCTGGCTCGTTGCCAAGATGCTATGTCAAAAACAGATTTGGTAAAAGTCAAATCGTCGAGGTCAAATTCCGGACCTCGAGTTGCGGAGCAGGCACTAAGGCTGACAGCTTGTGCAGATAATGCGCTCAGGTTCATGCCGTTGTTCCTGTTCAAACATCTGCTGTTTTGGATGAACAGTGCCTCTTCGATCTTTCTTGATTTAAAGTTCTTTTCGGCAGAGATTATGCTCATCTCTACGCACCGCGCACAGTTATTTTCTCATCAATGCTTGATCACTACGGAATGCCTCGTCTGCTCTTTACCTCATTTTTGTTGCGCAGTGACTTTTTCTCTCAAGTCACCACTGTTTCACATGGCAAGGTTCGACGCTTGTTTCATCCTCTTTTCCTCATTGAAATTACCCACTTTTAAATGCATACTTCGCCACCGTTACAGAGAATACAGTTAATCCATCCGCACATTTCGTTCCAAGGAACCTTCGTTGTTACATTCTTTGGTCGAATGCACAGAGTGAGTTCGGAGGCTCGACAAAACCTCCAAGTCCAGAGATGCAGCGATCCGATCCTTGAAGATCACGGCATAAATCTCCCGCGTAAAAGACTGATGGTCAATTTGCAAATCCTTCTCAGACTGAAACACAAGCATGTATGCTCACTTCCGTATTATCGAGTCCGATGATACCTTCCACCTCACCATCGTTTTCATACCGGCGCGCCAGCAGTCGAACAGGTGCCCATTTCATTACTTCGTTTGTTCATTGATGTCATTATATGTAACAGACGTTGGTCCTCTCTTTAAGACAGTTTAAAAGAGATAAAAAATGTATTGGCTTTTAGAAATGCTGCTGATATTCCTGATTAGCCTATGCAGCGATCCGCCGGATGTCAGTTATAGCATTAGTCCTAGCAACGTTGGTTCCTGAGAGATTCTCAGTCGGCTGATAGTAATCAATTCTTTAAGCACATTCTAAAGATTTATCTACTATTATATGTGAAATCGTTCGACTTGATGCATTCGAGTAACGGACCTCTCTTGAATGGGATTTGGATAATTGTCATGAATGGAATAGGCTCTGTCGAGCAGTTTCGATGACCGCTTATTCATTTGGGTCACGGAGAGAGTCGCGTCAGACAGTGTCTCTAGTCTCCACCATTCTTGATCTTGTGCCAGCGTTTGAACTTTGGCAAAAGACAACCCAGATTTAGAGCAGAGTCCGCCGAGGCATGTGCCTCACATCATTTTGGCCGTTTTCGAGATCTTTGGCAAGTCGGTCAGGCAGCACTTGCTCTTTCGTTTATTCTCTCTAACAGCATTTGCAAGACGTACCCTAACCATGACAGCTGTAATTTCCGTCTGGAGAAAAAGCGGCTGTACACTAAGGCATTCTCGGATTTCAAAACCCCGGACTCGATGTCTCATCCTAGCGATCGGTCTCATAAAGTCCACTGGCCAGCCAATCTACGTGGGATCGAGATTTTCAGGCATGGTCCTGGATTTATGGCCACACATTAGCATGTGAGTGAAAATCAGCTTAAACACAGACTTCGTCGTCTTCAGATTCAGCCCTGCCTTAGTCACAATGGTTAAAGCGCGTTCATAACCGCTCTTGTCGAAAATGTTTGCCAGGTTGGTGTAACTTCACAGAAAAGTAAAATCGGGTCTTATGCGTTTACTAGCATACTACTAGTTATTGATACTGCCATTGTCATAGATAATCCTTTTACGTTTTTGATGCCGAATTGAAGCGGCATAAGCATCGTTCCCTTGCTTTTAGTGGTCAGGGAATCATTTAAGCATGCCACGGTTGAATGGTATTTTAACACCTACATGGCATAGGCGTGAGACCGCATCATTACGCAGGGCCGAACGAAGATGTCTTCAGTCACCAGCGAATGTACTATGATGAGTAGGCTTATTTAAAAAGAAAGCTGAACCCTACCTTATGGGTTTACTAGCTTATTGCTGGTTATTGATACCGCCGCTAAGATTTATGGTCCTTTTCATCTGCATATGCCTCTAGCTGTCGAATTTTTACAAATTACCCTGAACAACAAAACAAGGATCAATTAAAGTAAGCACAAGGAAGGCACATGGTCAGTCATTTGGACAAATTTACATAATGTCGTCTTTCCATAACAGAATACGTTGTCTCGAACGTTTTCAGATCTCAAACTTGTTCCATGTTTTGAGATCGCTTGCACAAAAGCACAACAGAAAGAATTCCTTACTTAAGAAAAACAAATGCTGTACGTAATCCATGAAAGTTGAATTCCTCGTATTTGACACCATGCCGGTTCATTCTGTTGTTTCAGACACATTCAATAAAAGACTTCATTTGTGGAGAAGTACTGCTTTGTGTTTCCGATTACATTCTTATATTCTGCTCAGTCCTAGACTTCACTGATGTTGACATAACAGTGTTATCGGCGATGCATTTGAGAGAAGCCTAAAATCAGAGTCATTCGTGATTATGCTATAAAGCAGAGGAAAGAGGTCGAAACCCTGAACCATGCCGAGAATGTTCTGCTAGGGTGTCGATCTCTTCTTGGCAGTCTTGATGGACTGATTACGATGAGAAGGATTGATTGATTTATGTCTAGCGCGACTAGCTTGAGGAGCACTCTGCCACGTGGAACTAAGGTCAAGGAATAGCCACCTCTCTATTCGTCCCTTTGTGTGAAGTTCTTGTGAAACTTGATCTGTTAAGCTAGCGGATGCGTTGTCGGTGGCCGCTTTTCGTTTGTAGGCGAGCTGACAACGGTTGAGACGATCGATTGCAGATTGTTGGCAAGAACGCATGTGCCAAAGATTTGGAAACTGTCAGGTCATCGCTATGGAGCGGTAACTTTCAGGTCCTTTAGTTGAGTTCGTATACGAAGTTTTTTTCTCTCAACCTTTCCATATCATGCAGTAAGAATAATACATAACG